TACCTTTTTTTTTTTTCTATATATTCAAAAAAATTGTGTCTTTTTCTAGAACCCTACAAAAGGAAAAAGCCATGATTTTGTCAGAATGATGAAACAACAGAATGGATGAGACAACAGAATCAGATTGTTATATTCTACAAGCAAAAACCGAATGTGTGGAAGATTTTGAAGCACTGTGGTGTATTTTTTATTCCCACTCTTGTTTGTTTGTTTGAGTGGGGGGAAATCATTAAGGCTTGTTTTAATGGACTTTGAAGGATTGGCTTTGCAGGGTCAGTCTCTCTGATTTTGATAATTGTATTAATAGGGAAGGCTGGCTGGCTAGCTGGCTGGCATGTATGGAGGCTGGAATGTTAGGCTTCCGATTGGGTAGTCTTGAGAACTGATTACAGTTCAGCAGTATTTTGTGGGCTTAATATGCTGCTTCTTGAGTTCCTAAATGACAAGAATGTCCATTAAGAGAATGGGAAGTTTCTGAAAATCTCTGAATATTTGTGTGTGCAGCAAGGGGATAAATCAAATCATTATCAAAAGTTAATCAGCAATAGGAAGAAACAGAGGAAGAAAAAAAGATAAATTTACAATAGGAGAGAACTGAGTTATAATTTTGTTTTGAATTCCAGAAATCCGCTCAAATGAATTTATCTTAATTACATTTCTTAGTAGTTGAAGGTGTTGGGTGGCCAAAATGGCTCCCACTTGAACATAAGTGAAGATCGTTGGACTAGTCCTTTAAAGGTCATCCTAGAAGCACATAAGTAGAACCAACTGGCCTTCTAAATCTACTTCCTCAGCTCCAGAGTGCAAATAGTTCTCAGGACGTATAACTATCAGAAGTGAAAGCATGGATAAAGCGTAATATGCACCCTGTCCCCTCTTGCTTTCCTCTGCAGCTGAGATGGCTTTTCCTCTCTCCTCACAGGTTTGCCCTCTGAAAGCAGCCATTGAGAATTTGGATACACAGGAAGTGGAGATGCGCATGCGCCTAGCAGAACTGCAGCGACGCTACAAAGAGAAACAGCGGGAATTGGTCAAACTGCAGAGGCGGCATGACCACGAGTGAGTGTCTGCCTTCTTCAGTTTTCACAACAGGTTTCTAGGATAAGCACCTGACCTACTTGCGAGAAGGAATGTGGGTAAAGCAAAATGGTACCAAAAATGACATGAATGGTAAGGGGGTGAAGTAACTTCGAATCTATAGGCTGGTCTGTTTACTGTAGATCTGAAGGCCAAACCAGCAAATGATCCTCTTGGTCAAAGAGCTTCCCTGCCATATAAACTAGGCTGGTGCCCACATCCAGAAAAATCCTCACCATATGGGAGCAGGGCCATTCCTGTCTTTTTGTTCTGTGTTTAATATGGTTATTACCTGTAGGCGAGAGGAGAGTTCCCGGAGTCCAGCTCGACGGGGACCGGGGCGGCCTAGGAAACGCAAGCACTCCAGCACACTCAGTTCATTGCGACAGGGTTCGATGGGCAAGAGTGACAGCAGGAAGGTCAAGTGAGTGATCTGGCATGACTTATGGCGCTTGGGGCTGGGGAAAGCACTATAGATGTGTACAACGTTGCCTGTCTGTTTGAAAGCTTGAGGGACCCAGTAGATGCTGTAAGGAGTGTCTGTATATGGAACGGTGTGCTTATTGTAATGAATGGAAGTGCTGCTGTGTGCATTTCTGCAAAGACAGATCAACAAATGGGACTATAAGGCAATGAGTTCTCATCATTGCCTCCTCCCTTTCATCCTAGTACCACTGGATTTCCCCCCCTTCCAACTGGAATCATTTTCAACATCACAGCTTAGCTGGAAAGAGGGGCATGCACGATAAAGTGACCATGACAGGAAAGATTTTAGCCACCTGTCTCTATCCTTCATTTTCCTTTTTAAAATTTCCTCACCATCCACTTTACAGGTGTTTGCTCTGTATATATTTACCAGGCTCAATGGTGTGAGTGAGACAAAGTATTAGTCTGTTTGCATTTGTGTATGTATGTTGCTGGGGATCTCTAATTATATTTTGGGAAAGTGTGTATGTGTTAAGGGACATTTTAGACATTGAAGCTTTTCTTTTCTTTTTTTTTTTTGAGCTGTGGGGGCAGCCTAATTTTTTACATCAAACAGGCTCTATAGTGCCAGTGTTCTTTATAGTACTTTTTTGTATTTGTACACTATAAAAAGAGGACTCCCAGATCTCTGTAGTGTAATAATTACAGACCACACTGGGTAGAGGCATGAGAAAAAGTGGTGGTGGTGGTGGTGGTGATGTTCAGTGAATATGTTGTGATCAAAGCATTGCTTGTTGTTCTTGGCTATTACTGTTGCCTCCACCCCAGAGGTGACTGCACTTTAGTACTAAACACAGTGAATCCCGTACCCATCATCGTGGTCATCGAGATCTGGAAGAATAAGAGGGCTAAAGAGATGCCTGTTCCTCTGTGCTCCCCTGCCTCCTGTCTATCTTGCCTCCTGCACTGCTCTGGGGGAAGAATTGCCCCTCTTTGAAAAGGAAGGCAGTGTTGCATAAAAGCCTCTTTATCTGTGCTGTATAAAGTCATTGGTCACGCTGCAGTGGTGTTCATTGCTGCTGGCGCTTTATGATTATCCATTAGCCGCCCGGCACAGTCATTCCCGCACTCACGGGCCCTGTATAATTGTCCTTCTCTGCTACAAATTGCCTCTCCCGGCAGGCCCATTTGCATAAATCCTCCAAGCTAGTCCAAACATGATTGGAGCACGCGTGTGTGCGCTGCATCAATCCTGATGATTTGGTAATAATAGTTAAATCTGTACTAAATGGTTCCTTCAATTAAGACAGAAGAAAAAAATTAATCTCTAGGTTTTATGTCACAAAACATTAGCAAATGTAGTGAAGGTTACAGGGGGAAAAAAAGCAGTTAGTGTTGGCTTTGGGTTGCAACATGGCTCCACCATATGGCTCATGGAAACCTTCCAGGACTCACTAGAGAACTTGCTTGCCTTCTCCCATTCCTCTCCGCCCTGAGTCCTTTATGTGGATTTATCCTGGGGGGAAAGTACAATCCCTGTTCTCGCTCCAAACCTTGAAAAGCTGTGTGGATTCATGCAAAATTAAATATAAAAGGAAATCCATTCTTAGCTGATTGGGAAGACAGTCCCAGCTTTGGCTCCACTAAGCTCCACTTCCCTTGCGTTTTAACCCCACTTCTGAACAAGTCCAAAAATCATCCCACCCAGATGGGTTTGCCAGTAAATCTTTAAAAGCTGAAATAGGAGCTTCTGTGATTCCAAAACAGCATTCAAAGTGCTGTTATCCAGGATGGGAGCCAGCATAAAAATATGCTGGTTCTAAGGAGCACTGACCACATTTTGGACCCCAATTCTGCCTTAGCAGTGAAGGAGAATCGGGGTTGTGTCCACAAGAGATAAGGTCAGGGGGAAAGATATGAGGTGTGAGATGGGGAATACAGGTAGTGCTTATTTAGCAACTGCCTCGTTTAGTGACCATTCACAATTGTGATGGTGATGAAAAATAACTTTGCAACCAATCCTTGCTTTTATGATCCTCACAGGTCTGTAAAACAAAAGAAAGCTGAAGTAAAATTGTAACATTGTGACTGCTTCACTTAATGACCAAGTTGCTGGTCTCAATTGTAGTTGCTAAATGAGGAGTACCTGTACTCCTTTGATGCCAGTTACTGGTAGTAGAAGACCAGTGGATCTCCTGATGCCTGTTCTCTGATCCCGTGGGTGGAACTGGAGAATTGACACCAAACAACCCATGCTTTGCTGCTTCTTTCCCCCACCTTCATAATCTCTCTACGTACTTCTCCTTTTGCCCATGGTGAGAAAAGGGGTGGTGGAGAAAGAGGCCTGGTCCCTGTTTCCATCTTCCATAAGATGTCACAGAGTCAGAGCAGAGGTAAGAAGGACAGGAAGTGGATTGTCGAAGGCTTTCACGGCCGGCATACGATGGCTGGTGTGGGTCTTCCAGGCTGTGTGGCTGTGTTCTGGAAGTTTTGTTTCCTAACGTTTTGCCAGCACCTG